CTAAGTCAGTCAGTTGTGTGAGTAATTATACTGTGTTATTGGCCATCACTAATAGTGACTAGGACCCATGCTAAGTCAGTCAGTTGTGTGAGTAATTATACTGTGTTATTGGCCATCACTAATAGTGGCTAGGAACTATGCTAAGTCAGTCAGTTGTGTGAGTAATTATACTGTGTTAACCATCAATAGTAGTGGCTAGGACCCATGCTAAGTCAATCAGTTGTGTGAGTAATTATACTTTGTTATTGGCCATCACTAATAGTGGCTAGGACCCATGCTAAGTCAGTCAGTTGTGTGAGTAATTATACTTTGTTAACCATCAATAGTAGTGGCTAGGACCCATGCTAAGTCAATCAGTTGTATGAATAATTATACTGACAATTATAGCTATTACTCAACCACCAAGGTTTCTTCTTTGCTCATCTAAGCATTGGTATGATTTTTTCTCGCTTCCTCCAATTTTTTATATAGCACTTAATTGCTCTTGGGAATATTTGTCTCGTGACACTCTCCTCCTACGTCAATATGCCCTCTATCCTGATACTGTGTATAAACACCTCATTTACATAATTTTATCACTTATTCTTGACAAAGCGTTACCAGCAGGTTTCCAAGTATTACGATCGTTCAAAGATAGTTTGAACATTACTGTGTTATCTAATTGATTTTTGTGATAATATAAAGAATAATTAAAAAACAAATTGCTTCCAATTGGCTAGCTGATTATGGTTAGAATTCCCAGATTATTATATCTGACATGGAGGCAAATTGGTCTCTCCTCTCCCACCTTTGATATCTAGCACTGCAGAACAAAGGAGGGGGGGCACTCTTGGTTGAGACTGTATCTAGCACTGCAGAACAAAGGAGGGGGGTCACTCTTGGTTGAGACTGTTAGTGATCTTATTCGTGTGAGATGGAGACACGTATTTGGATCTGTGGTGATACTCCCGGAAGCTCTGAGGCTGCAATTGAGAGCGATCTTCGACATTTTGGAAAGACTTTAGTTTCACTTTTTCCTGTGCCTTTTTTTAGTCTGTTGGATTTTTAGTCCCCCTGTGGGACAGTGGAAAGTTTATGGACTCAACCCCAGGGTTTGATTCCCTAGGGTAGACGTGGCAGATAGCCCGAAGTCTCTCTGTTCTAACAAAACAAATTACTTTATCTTATAAAATGCTGTTCCATATGAGCTATGAAAAACGAAAAGAGGCCAATTTAGGATAAGCTGCCTTTGATTTGTATTTTTTCTGTTAATTCTTTGAGTGTGTGAGGTTTTGGGTTTTTTCCCAGTTGCCTGTAACTTACTTGATGGTTGAAAAGTCTTGGAGCGAATTTTTTCTCCATACATATCCGCACATAAGAACTTTATGATTTAGCCTACCATCACCATGTGGAGGCATTTTTCTGACTCTCAAATAATACATGTGCTCCTGAGTTCGGTTGATCTGGGAGTAGTGAGAGAGTCGGGTTAGTTCTTCAGAGTTTTTATTCCTGTCAGTTGTTGCACCTAGGCAGACAGGAGATTGGTGTCCAGTCATCAATTTTCCTTGTCTATATCAATGTCTATATTCTCCAAGGTTCACAAGTTACTCATTTCTCAATCTGTGTTGATTTTTTTACTGGAATTGAGGATGTCCATCTTGGTTGTAGTTGGTTCCTATCTGCAATTTGCTTTAGCAGTGGAGTCCACCGCTCTCAGTGTTTGTGATGCACAAGGGTCAGGTACTGTAGTTCCAGGTTTTTTACTTCTTACTCACATAGGCTTCACATGGGTTCTGCTGTATTGTATGAGTTTTTTCTCATCCCCTTCATTCCGTCATACTGTGAACATACCATTCCATGGATGACTGGTTACTGCTAGCAATTACATTTTGTCATTAGTTAGACCATCACATCCTGATTCTACTTTCAGATACAACCCAGGTAGGCTTCCCTTATGGGATTGTGACATTTGTTTTTGCTCCTATTCAGTATGTCATCAATCTGGGTATTTTTTATTTTTCATCTCGTCTCTTAGTTGGGCTCAACTGTCTCCCATCCTTCTCAACGTTATGGAATAGGATGCCACACTCTTACCTTTTCTTCTACCATTGCATGGATGGTTCTTTCTCTTCTGGGAATGTTGGTGTCACTGAAATCCTTAGTGCCTTTGGGACAAGAACACGAACAATTGTTTTATTGGTCTTTAAGCAATCAAGGATAATACTCATCTATTTACTGGTTTTCCCAGTTTCCTTAGTCAGTATCTTTCTTTGATCTTGAGGGGTTGTTAAGTTAGGACACTACTATGATTTGGGTTCCTCTACTGCTACCTCCTCCAGAGTTCCATTTTTTTCACAAATGCCTTGCTTCAGGGACAGGGTGCATATACTAACAGTTAAGAATTCCAGAGTCTATGTACAGATGATGAGGATTCCCTACACAATGTTTTCATCCTTCTTGCTCTTCAACAGGCATGGCCTCATGGTCTGGACTTCTTGAAGGGTAAATTGTCAGGCTTCACTCTGATTATTCTGTAGTGGTGTCTTATGTTTCTTATTGAGGATAAATGTGATCTAGAACTCATTATTTTCTCAGAACCAGACCTTTCTTTTTATCCTTCTAACTTCCCATGTTCCACAGGTGATGCCTGTGGTAGCAGATCCATTGTCTAAATCCATACGACAGAATAAATATTGAGTTGTGTTGGATTAGCTCTCATTTTGTGAGTTGGCCTCATTGGATTACCCAACTACTGGCAATTTGGTCTCCAGTACGTCATCTTTGGGCTTTGGCAGTAGCTGTTTTCCATCTGGACAGGACAGAATTATCACTCTAAACCTTTTCTTCACTTCATATGTTACCCAGTGTCAGATCCTGTTGATAGCACCAGATTGGCTGCTACATCCAGATTTCTGCTTCTGCAATCTCTTCTGGTGTGTCCAACACTTCTACTTCTTTATAGGCTATCTCTGTGGAGACAGCCATGATTTGTTATGGTACACCCAGCTATCCACACTCTCAAGCTTCTGGCATAGAGGTTATGCTGTCTTTCTTATGACATTGGAGTTTAATTTCTAAAGTTGACATAAATCTGTCTCAGTTTCTGCTTAGTCCAAAATACACTTTTATCAATGGTAATGACATGCATATTGGCAATGTTGTATTGCGAGGAAGTTGAACCCTTTTTAATCTGTGGTGTCAGTCATAACTCGTTTTTTGACTTTGCTTTTTGACAGAGGTTCTTGCATCTTCCACAATCACCATTGTTTACCACAGCTTTGTCGCCTACTGTTCAATTAACACGACTACATATTTTTTGATTCCTCACTTCGTTTTGGGTACTTAGTTCCAAATGACCATTCCAATTACCTACCAGGTAGATCAAGGTTTTTCTACACCTGTTTGTGACCTGAATTTTATATGCCACGTATTTCCTTTACCTGCAGGTTTATTTTTAGTACTGCTGACCTACTAACATCACCAGTTGGAGTTATTTGCGCTGTTTCTCCACATACCACTTACCCAACATTCTGTCAGATGGGAAATGGGTTCAGTCCTTTTCTCTGATTCATCTGATCACTCTCTCTCTCTCTCTATGTCCATTCAGATTTCGATCTTGGTCACATTCAGTGAAGGTCTTGAAGGTTTTGTTGCCTGCACTCGTATCTTTAGAGATACTAGACAACTCTTTTTATTCTGGGCTCGTTTTGAAGGCGAAGTATCTTCTGTGATTACATCTTATCAGATTTCTCTTTTCTATGTCCTCAACACCCTGGGCGAGTTGCCCGCTGAAGTTTATTGTGCAGACTGGCATGTAGACCTCCCCCAATACTTTTGTCTTACATTATTTGTCTGATCTGGCAATCTTTTCATCTGAGGATTTTTGCCTACCTCCTGTAGCTATCTTAACCATTTCTGCTAGATTATCCAGAGGGGTGAGTATATTTATTTCTTTCTGTCAGGGTCCCTTACCTTGTTTTCACAGGATCCCACTCTGTGGTGAGTGTTGCCCAAACAGGTGTGCTTTTCACTATAATTACTACCGGTTGCAACAGGCTCTGTAGAAATGAAGTCTTCCATAAAACCACTTAGGAGCTCACCATGTAGTATAACCATGCTATGCTGGACAGCCACTCGTGGGCTATCATGAGAAAAGCTAAAGGGGATCCTGCCCATCTCTGCCGATCAACAGATTGAATAAATCGGGTGCAGTTTGCTTTTAAATGTTTAGGGACCTTGATTCACCTATTGCATTATTTCCAAAGCAATGTTCCTCAGAGCTCCTCAATGCGCAATACCCCCCAGATTCAAGTAGTGGAGATAGAGAGTCCTTACCACACTAATAGACCTTAATAGACTAATATTAGAGCTATAGATGAAGTTGGATATCAATATGGGAATTGTGTACAGTTTATAGTTATATATTAATCGTTGAGAAATCGTGTTTCCCACCAGGTGGAGCAGTTGAAGTATCAAGAGACTCTAATATTGGAGCTAGAAAAAGAGCTGGATATTCATTTATCTCAGCCTCCAGAACAAGGAGGAAAACCTAGGATTACTCACGAGTTTTCTGAAAAAGAAGCTTACTTAAGATTTGAGGTGAGAAATCAAAAGTTTATAAGTCTAAAGATTAAACTTAAACATAAAATCCATTGTAAACCTGTAAAGATAAAGTCATCATATTAGTTTATTGTAAAAGAAATTTTCTGAATGTATTGGGTGTCTGGTTTATTGAAGAAGATGGATAAACTATGTATTGGGTGTCTGGTTTATTGAAGAAGATGGATAAACTATGAATTGGGTGTCTGGTTTATTGAAGAAGATGGATAAACTATGTATTGGGTGTCTGGTTTATTGAAGAAGATGGATAAACTATGTATTGGGTGTCTGGTTTATTGAAGAAGATGGATAAACTATGTATTGGGTGTCTGGTTTATTGAAGAAGATGGATAAACTATGTATTGGGTGTCTGGTTTATTGAAGAAGATGGATAAACTTATGTATTGGGTGTCTGGTTTATTGAAGAAGATGGATAAACTATGTATTGGGTGTCTGGTTTATTGAAGGAGATTGATAAACCAGGTATTGGGTGTCTGGTTTATTGAAGGAGATGGATAAACTATGTATTGGGTGTCTGGTTTATTGAAGAAGATGGATAAACTTATGATAGTCTACGTGAAATATTGGATA